GTCTCTCTCCAAGTTTTAGGGGTTTTCTTCTCAATTCTCATTTTTTATTCTGTCAAAGTCTTGTATATTTTTTTCAGTTTTGTTTGTTATTTAGTTGTGACCATTCCTTGAGTAATCAAGAAACACAACTTAGAATATACGAAACTATTTTTCCTTGTTTTCATATGGTATTATAGCCAAACCTCGCAATCTGAACCTCAATCCTACCCTATCTCTCCATTTGTTCTATATAATGTCTCTACTTTTGAAAACTGAATTATGAATTATGAAACCACAAACTGCAATCATATTTTTAATTGAGTTCATGATATATGAAATTACGAATCTATATATTAAAAATCAATGTCAACTTGGATTCATTTGATCAGATTAGATCAACTAGATCCATTCAAATTAACAACTATAAAACTGAGAACCAAACTAGTACGATAACAAACTTCAACCAAGGACCAAATCGAGCATGGGCAATCAATTTTGTTCTTCGATTTTGCTGGTCCTCAACAAGTTCTCAGCACATGAGTATTTAATGTTTAGATAAGTTAGGTTCTTATATTGTTATCATAAAAAACTAACTATAGGTGTGTGAACATCAATATAAATCGACAAAATCAAGGTACTAAACACGGACCATGTTGTACTAAACTAGCACTCACAACATCTGGTTTGCTTCCATGTTCCAAAGATTTTAAACCTCAAGTTTTAAGTTTAAGATATATCAAAATTAGGTGTGGTTCGAAACCTCAACCGAATTGAATTTTTGTTTATTTCTAATTTTTCAAACTTTAGAATGACGTAGTGGTGTGTGGTGTTCTTCTAGTTCTATCGGCGCAAATTATTGAACTAGTACATGCCGTTTTTGTTTTTCATCTACTTATCGCAAGTCAAAAACAATAATTTGTGCAAAGTTAATCTATTTGAAATACGACATACCCGTTGTAACTCATTTGACTCTACTAGAGATGAAAGTGGGTCCGAACCCGACCCGTTAGACCCGGACCCGGACAACCCGAAAACCATAATTGAAATATTCGAAGATCCGGAAACCGGACCGATATATACGAACCGGTTCCAGGTATGTGGCCGGGTAACATGGATCTAGAACCAGAAAACTCGGAAATATCAAAGTGGGTAGGGTGGAACCGGGTAAAGTGGGTCTGGAACCGGAAAAATGAAAAAAAAAAAAAAAAACTGAATTTTTGTACTTCATGGTTTGAAATGAATTTAAGTAATATATATATATATATATATATATATATATATATATATATAATATATATATATATATATATATATATATATATATATATATATATATATATATTAACCTAAGAAAATGAAATTTAATTTTCAATGAAGATTGTAGATCGTAAGACTTATATATATATATATATAATATATATATATATATATATATATATATATATATATATATATATATATATATATATATATATATATATATTAATTGGATCAAACTCATAAAAATTGGTTTGAATGTGTCATGTTGAAATATTTTAGGCTTTAGATAGCTAGGATGAGTTGTTATGTCATCACTTTTTTAGGGGTTCTATCATCTTATATATAATTGGTTTGAATGTTTGAATATTTTGTTATGGTTTTATTTTGCTGATTATAAAGTCTAACAATTTAGATTTTCTTATGGCACTTTAGCATTGGATCAAACTCGTTAAAACAATATACGATAACAAACGAATTTGTAAATTACTAATGATTCAGCTATTATATACTATTTTGTGTATAATAAGGCATTTTATTTTTTAATAATTTTGAGAATGTTGCTGTAATCAAAAGATGCTTAATAAATACAAATACAATTAGATAGTAAGAGACAAATCACCAATTTTCAATTTTCTAAAGATGCTTAATAAATACAAATACGATTGGTTAGTACGTGATCACAGAGAGTAGAGGTGTGAATTGATTTTTTTGCTAGCTACGTGATCATAGAGAGTAGGTTGATGTCAATCACAATGGCTAAGTAAGGAAAAAATCAACAATGGAGAGGAATGTCGATCAGAGATTGAAGAGCACCACCGAACAATGTGAAAAATATGGAGACAAGGATGTGCGTATGTATTTGATTAATCTAACGGCTAGGTCAACGTAGCTTAAAAAACTATCTACATTCCGGGTTTCTGACCCAATTACTCGATTCCGGTTATTTTACCCGGTTTACCCGGATCCGTTGGACCTATACTCGGAATACCCGAAACCCGAATAAGGCTATTCGTAAAACCCAATACCCGGACCGGTTTAGCATACTCCGATTCAACCGGTTCTGGGTCCGATCAGGTTATAAATCTCATGCCTAGACTCTACCATTAGGAGTATACCTAATTTATTTACTCTTAAATTTTTTTCAAAAAATAAAAACATAAAACCTTAAGAAACTTTTACATCGAAGTGGAAGTTAGGGATATAAACGAGTATAGAACCTGACCAGGATGTTGTGAGTACCAATTTAGTACCGCATGATCTGTTTGGGTTTGGATGCGAACCTAGAACCAAAATTTGATTATTTGTGGAACTGGAAACCGAATGCATATAAAGATACCGGTTCTGGTTCGGTTATGTGTATAGTTTCGGTAAACCAAGTTTAGACCTGGATTTGGGGTTTGGAGCTGGATATGGATTTTGAAATTGACTTGGAATCAGAAGTTTGGGTTTGGAAGCAGATGAAAAAAGTTTATTTTTATAAAAAAAATTCAACTTTGATACACCATGTTTAGGGGATTGTAAGTGAGTTAATACATATCAAAGTGTTCATAGATTCTAAAATAAAGCCAAAAATTTTGAGAAAAAAATCAGGCCGAACGGACTTATAATGAAGCAGTTAAGACAGTTTAAAGTGATGTAAAAGTCTAACACAGTGTACAAAAACAACAAATCAAATTTGATATCTCTTGTTTAAGGGCATGTAAGTCAGTCAATACATATGCAAGTAAAGTGTTTTTAGAGTCTAAAATAAATCCAAAACATTGAACTATATTCTGAAAAAAGTCAGGTCGAATGGACTTATAACGAATCGATTATACTAGTTTGAACTGGAGCAAAAATACTTCACAAAGCAAATTGATTCAAGCCCATTCAAATTCTGGTTGTGGGTCTTGGATCCGGATAACCCTAAACCAGATGAAGCATAACCCCAAAAACCAATACTCGGTTTCAGGCTAATGACGGATCCGATAACCAAATCAGTTTTGAGTAATTCGGTTCCAACCTGTTTTGGGTTTTTGGTTTTAAGTATGAAAAGCTCATCCGTAGTGGTGGGAAAATGTGCAATAAAATGCGTTATTAACCAGTATGAAAGTTTTTATTCAAGTACCCATGAATAAAAACGGATAAAAAACTTACTCACCCATGTGCAGTTTAAAACTCACAGTTCCGATAACGAAACCAGAATAAGTAAATCCCGTCTAATTGAAATCTGCAAACATACTTCGTGTTTTTAGTTGGAGATGTTGGAGGGTTTGTGTTTTTAGTTGAAGGTATGTGTTGGTGGTTGTTTTTAGTTATGTGTGTGCGTGTGTTTCAAAAAAGAAGATAGAGGAGGCAAGTTCAAGCTCTCATGTTCGAAGAAAAATACGTGAGAGAGAGAGAGAGTGTGTGTGTGTGTGTGTGTTTGTGAGTGTGAGTATGTCTAACTTCTTTTTCTAATTCTTAATTGTAATTTATTTTAAAAATGAGGTAAGTTGGTAAATGTACTCGTATTGAACCGCTATTTTCTTATGGTGTTGGGATAACCGTATAGTGAATTGTTCTTTTTTTACGATATTATAGGTTCATGTTCTACTTAGAGCATCTTCAATGGTTAAGTTATATATAACTTAAAATAAATATCACATTATTATTCTTTTAACTTTAATCCCAAATTAAATACCATCTTTAATGGTTAATTTTCTATATAGTTTATTTATTTATTTATTTATTTTTATAATTTAACTGATTTATCCTCAACTATCTAAAATGTTTTATAAAAACCCTCATACTTATTAAAATTTAATATACATATTAATGTTATTTGATATGGTTTTCTATTAAACTCTACTATAATTTTTAATATACAAACATTTGTAATATATATTTTTTTTATAAAAATAAAATATATTCAAAACTTTAATATAATAAAAAGGATAGTATGACATATTATTAAATACAAAAAGATTAAATGTTAAAACAAATATAATATATTAATGGTTAATAAAAAAACTAAATAAACTATTGGACATAGGGCGTATCACACCAAATCAAGCAACAATAAGGATTAACTCCAAAATCGTAATAGGTTCGAATCAGGGGGTAGCAAAGCAGTTCGATTTTGCTACATCTGATTTTTGATTTGCTGGGTTTTCACAAAATCGCAATAGGCTCCAAAATCGTAACAACCGATCACTTCATCTTCCATGAGTTAAGTTTGTTAAAAGTTAGAAGGGTTTTTAATTTCAAAAGCTTCATGTTTTGAGTTTTTGATATGCTTTGTCTCCATTCGAATTTTTGGGTTTCTAGAAAATCTGGTTTATTAAGAACAAGGGGAAGAACCGAGGGGGGAGGGGGGGGGGGTCCGAGTCTGGTAGGGTAGAGATATGGTAGGATTTTTTATTTATCTTAATTCTAGAAATATAAAAATAAATATTAGAAAGTATAGAAAAGAAATTAAAAGGGTATTATAATTTTTTTACATTTTTAAGGGACAAAATCCACAAAGAAAATTTTCATTTTGAATTAATGGTGTAAAGACAAACCATAAGGACCAAGTTTGAAGTTTTATCAAATAAAAATAAAATATAAAACGGAAACTGTTACTTCTTACTTGTAACCCATGCCGCCAAATCTTTATATCTTAAACTCAATTTGTTTAATATTTTATTCAAATAAAATAAAAGAATCTTGTAAACCATTTTGAAAGTAAATATTTAAAAATAAATCATGAACCAGAATATACATAATCAAATTCTTTAAGTTTCTTGTTGTACTGTATGCTATTGTGTAAGTACGTTGAGTAGTGAAACCCTAGTGTTTATCAAGCTCCTAAACACCCTTTCACTTCCACCCTCGATCCCTTCTATGCATTCTTCCATTTCTTTCATCATTTTCTTGTTCAAAATCTCATCTTTATAATTTCTCAAACTCCAAATCCCATTTTCAACTTCTTTGATCCCTTTTTCCCTCTTGGATTTCTTCAATCCCATCATCCATGAAGCTTTTCGGGTTTCCAGTGAAGCCGATATCCCACCAAAAACAGCTTCTGAAATCACAACAATCATTTCCATCACACCTTTTATCACTTCAACGAGTTCAAAATCCGGGTTCGGATCCAACTGAGTTAAATCGGCCGGGCGCTCACGGATCGTTTGGAGAAATGGCATGAGCTTGAAGATTTCTCGACCGGATTTCTTCAAACCCTTCAAGCAAACCACCATTTTCAACCCGTCTTTCCTCCTTGTCGCAAGCTGCGCTGCAACATTACATTGTTTCAACGTTGAGATTTGCATCTGAAAAGTTCCATAAACATCCACCATCACTAGAAAGTCTTCAAGAACTTTCTCCACCCACTCAGGGTGGCGACGCAGGGAGTCTCTTGATGGAGCAAGATCAAGAAGGTCGTCGAGAGACTCCAGGATGATGCGTAAACGGATCAACGCGTCGGTGATCCGACTAGAATTGATTGATTCCGATACAGTTTCGGGTCCCCACTGGGATTTGAGCTGGTTGAGGTGGTATTTAAGTTGAGAGAGGACAGGGTGGGATCTGGTGGGCAAACTGGTGGATCTGAAGTGGATCCTTTTTGCGGTGGTTCTGTAGGTGGAAGAAGGCGGCGGTGGTGGCGGTGATGGGGTGTTAGAGAACGAGACAGATCGCCTGAAATGTGCTACCATTTTTGGTGTCATCATTGCTGGATTGAATTATTTAAGGTGGTTTTCTTTTTCTGATGGAAATGTGAAGTGGAATGAAGGGTATATATAGCGTCAAAACCGCGTCGTTGGAGCTGGTTGGCATGTGTCCGCCGGTAGTCCCTGTTTGAGTTGTTTTCACGGGTGAATAGATTCAAATTCAGTTACTACTCTCTACAACTTAAAATTTAAAAAAGAGAAAAAGATTGATTAATATATAATGAATTTTAAAATTTTGCAAGTGTAGGGGTGCTTGTTTGGATCAAGTTCAATCCACGAGAATCCAAAGTGATTTAAGGTGTTTTTTGGTTGGTAGAATATTAATATGAATTTTGAATCCAATTCCATATACGGTTAAGTTGGCAGAAAATAGAATTGAAATTAATTATGAATTTATTTGGTTCGTAGAAAACTGAACTGGAATTAATGTAAAATGACAAAATTATCATTTTTCTGTTATGCTTAATTTTTTACCTTGTTTTTCTAACTTATATGTAAATATAAATTCTATAAAACATACAAATAGTAAAATTTCGGCGGTGGTGACAATGGTGTTAGGGGCGGTGGCGGTGGTTTGTGGCAGCGATGGTGGTGGTGGTGGTGTTGATTATGGTAGCGGTGGCGGTGGTGATTGTGGCAGTGGCGGCGACGGCGGTGATGGTAGTGGCGGCAGTGGCAGCGACGATGGTGGCTGCAGCAACGGTGATGACAACATTGGTAGTGGTTGTGAGTGATGGTAGTGGTAGTATCGGTGGTGGTGGTGGGAGTGTTGTTAGTGGTGATGGTGGTGGTGGTGTTGGTGGCGATGGTGATAGTGGCGGCGGTAGTATTGGTTGGCGGTCAATGACGGCAATGGTAGTGGCGGCGGCGGCGGCGGTGGTGGTGGCATCAGTGGTAGTGGTAGTGGCAGCGGTGGTGGTTGGTGGTGGGTGGTGGTGGTGAATTTTCTGATAAATACAAGAGGTATTTTTATAATTTGTCACTTTCCTTGATAAGATGAAATGTTTTCCAACCAACTTTGGAAGAAATCCACTTTCCTCCATATGGTGAAAATTTTAGGAATTCCTTTCCCAACCAACGTTGGAAGTGGTGGTGACGGTGGTGGTTTTGGTGGGTGGTTGTTGGTAGTGGTGTTGGTGGCGACGGTGATAGTGGTGGCGGTAGTGTTGGTTGGTGGTCGGTGGCGACAGTGGTAGTGGCGGCGACAGCGGTGGTGGTGGTGGCATCGGTGGTAGTGGTGATGACAGCGGCGGTGGTTGGTGGTGGTGAATTTTATGATAAATACAAGGGGTATTTTTTTAATCTGTCACTTTTCTTGATAAGATGAAATGTTTTCCAAACAACTTTGGAAGAAATCCATTTTCCTCTATGTGGTTAAAATTTTAGGAATCCCTTCCCCCTTCTAAGTCCAATGAAATCCTAGGAATCGGAGGAAATTGAATCATTTTCTCTCAAATTCAATTCTTTTCATGCCAACAAAACACACTCTTAGTTTTTAAAACATTAATTTGAATGATTCAAACTAAAATAAAATCTAAATCAAATTATAACTTGGTTGTATTGTTTATATATATATATATATATATATATATATATATATATATATATATATATATATATATATATATAATTTTGTTTTATTTTATATATTAATTTGGTATTTTAGAGTTAGATCATTTTAAAAATATTAACTTGAATATTAATCAATTTTATAAAAATTATAAAAACAAATTATTTAGTTGTAGATTAAAATTTATAAATAGCTAAGGAAGAATATGTTATAGTTTAATTAACATTTTATATATCGACTTTTTAATTTTATATATATTTTTTTATCAATTAAGTCCAAAAACAATCAATTGTATTTATTTTGATAATTTTACTCGGTAACCGGTCATCAACATAATATAAAGATTTTTTCATATATAAATTAAAAAATATTAGGATTTTTTTAAAATATGTTATTTTTAATCTTTTTAGATATTATTTTATTATCTTAGTATATATGTTGTTGTCTGACAAATAATATCTATTATGAAAATAATTTTTTTTCTTTTATATTTAACCGTTTTTATAACATTTATGTATAACATAGTGTATATTATATTAATTTTCTAAAACAACTATGTTTAGAAGAAAAATGAAACTATTTTCATAATAGATATTCTTTTTCACACAAAAAAAAACCCATAAGATTAATGTAAGATGAAAAATTGTCAGACATAAGTATTATAAAAATGATTAATTTTAAAAGAAATAATATATTTCATGATAATAATACAAAAAAACACCATAAGTTTAATGTAAGATAATATAATCCGTTAGACATAAATTTTATAAAAACGGTTATTTTTAGAAGAAAATAAAACTATTTTCATAATAGATATTATTTATCAGATAAAGAAAATACCAAAAGATTAATGTAAGATATTACATTACGTTAAATAGAAATATTATAAAAAGAATTATTTATAAAAAAAAATTATTTTCATAATTGATATTCTCTGATATAAGATAATTTAATCTGATAGATAAAAAAATATACTAAGATAACAAGATAATATTTAAAAAAAATAAAAAATATATATATTTTAAATAGTTTTTAGTTTATTTACGAAGAAATCCTTATATTATATTTTTGCTCTATGCTATCAATCGAGCAGTATAACGGTTATTGGAGATACATAACCACTATTTACAAAATAGTGTTTACAAATCCTAAAGCACTATTAGCGACATTATTTAGCGCTATTTACAACGATACTAATGACCGTAATATCAGTGTTACAACAGATATCGTACTTTCATTCACATTTGAATCATTTGTCTAATTTTACAAGGAAAAACATGTGATGGGCTTTTTAATCAGCCTATATGTATTTAAAAAAAGCCCAAATAATTACAAAGCTAATTAATTAGAAGGTAGGCGACATCCAAAGCAACGTTCTCATCTCTTTTTGTAATAATTGGAAACCTATGTTTTTATATGACTTTTAAGGTTTTATGATATTATATAGGGATATCTTCGGAAAAGTTATGATATTTTGGGTAAATTTTTAATAAAGGCCTAAAATTTATTTTTTGTATAAAAAAGTTCTGACTTTTTCATATTTTGAATAGATTAACCCAAAAAACCGACTAATTTATTCACTTTAGTCCTTTTTGACCTGTTCAGCAGGTCATGAAACTAAATTGTTAATTTTTCGAAAATAATGAGATTTTTTTTGCAGATTTCGTCAAAATTTTTATATAATGTATAAACATATTTTTTTTACATATCTATATCAAATTTTACGTATTTGTTTATTTATTATGTTTTTATATGTATATATTTACGTATTTTTATGTATTTTAAAATGTATAAACGTATTTTTACTTATTTATATGTATTTTAAACAATTTTACATATTTCTTTATGTATTTTTATGTGTAATTTTTTATGTATTATGTATTTATATGTATTATGTATTTTTTAAGCTTTTTATATAGATGTTTATGTATTTTAAATGTATAAACGTATTTGTTACGTATTTACATCTATTTTTTAGTATTTTACATATTTTTTTATGTATTACGTATTTATGTATTTTTTTAAGTGTTTTATATAGATGTTTTTGTATATTTATGTATTTTAAATGTATAGACGTATTGTTTTACGTATTTATATGTATTTTTTAAACTATTTTACATATTTTTTGTGTTTTTTATATGTATTATGTATTTATATGTATTTTTGCATATTTATGTATTCTTTTAGTTTTCTTATATAGATTTTTATGTATTTTTATGTATATTAAATGTTTAATTGTATTATTTTTATGTGTTTATATATTTTTTACGTAAAAATAATACACTTTAACATTTAATGTACATAAAAATACATAAATATCTATATAAGAAAACTAAAAAAATACATAAATACGCAAAATTATATATAAATACATAATACATAAAAAACACATAAAAACACACAAAAAAATATATATGTAAAGTACTTAAAAAAATACATATAAATACGTAAAACAATACGTTTATACATTTAAAATACATAAATATACAAAACCATCTATATAAAAACTTTAAAATATATATATAAATACGTAATACATAAAAGATATGTAAAATACTTTAAAATAGATATAAATACGTAAAAAATACGTTTATACACTTAAAATACATAAACATCTATATAAAAAGCTTTAAAAATACATAAATACGTAAAAATACATAAATACGTAAAAATATATAAAAATACATATAAATACATAATATATAAAAAATAACACATAAAAATACATAAAAAATATGTAAAATGGTTAAAAATACATATAAATAAGTAAAAAAATACGTTTATACATTTAAAATACATAAAAATACATAAATATATACTTATAAAAATATAAAAAATATAAAAATACGTAAAAATAGATATAGATATGTAAATAATATGTTCATACATTGTATAAAAATTTTGACGAAATCTGCAAAAAAAATCACTTTATTTTCGAAAAATTAACAATCTGGTCTTATGACCTGCTGAACAGGTCAAAAAGGACTAAAGTGAATAAATTAGCCAGTTTCTTGGGCTTTTCTATTCAGAATGTAAAAAAATTAGGACTTTTTTATTCAAAAAATAAAATTTAGGACTTTATTAAAAATTTGCCCAAAATATCGGGATTTTTCTGGAGATATCCCATATATATATATATATATATATATATATATATATATATATATATATATATATATATATATATATATATATATAACATTAAGAAAACCGCTATAACACCGCTATACCATCGTGATAACCGCAAATTCAAATAGTGGCCTGTGACTGTTATTGAAATTTTGACAGCAAATACTACATACTTTTAATGGAAATGGTTTGCCTTATCCTACCCGTTCGGCTAACGAACCTTCACCAATCAAGGAAGCGGTGGGTGAGAGTGGACACGCATTAAACGACCATTTTATAAGTTATA